GTCAATTTATTTCTCCCCACCGTCAATTTATTTCTCCCCCCCTTCCCTACCTCTGTTGTAGCGTGGCCGAGCTCTATATGGTCCGCGGGTACAGGGAGCTTTTGTTTCCTGTACCCGGCCGGACTAAAAGGAAATGCACACTCAGTGTTAGTCCGGCCAGGTACAGGAGATAGATGATCCCAGTACCCGCGGACCATACAGAGCTCGGTCACGCTACAGTGAGGGAGTGACAGGAGTGAGTGCTGAGCGCTTGCCTCCTGTCAGCCCCTCTCCTCATGCTGCGCCCTCATGGACGCACCAGCCTGGGCAAAGCTGCAGCCGCCTGAGGCTCTCTACAGAGCGCTCGGGCGGCTGCAGCATGAGGGGGGCCGGCGCTCCTGGCGGCGCCCCTTCCCAAGGGGCGCCTTAGGCGGCTGCCTAGTCTGCCTAACAGGTAGCGCCGGCCCTGCCCCTCATGAAAAATTATGTGAATATCCAACAGACATCTATGACATTATTGTTCTCTGATAAATATGCTCTCTACTTAGGTTTACCATATAGCAAGCGTGCATTAACCACTGTACATGTGAGGGTAGTGAGTAATGCTTATTGCATGGCTCACTAAGGATATAATGTGACATCTGTGGAAAAAAAAGGTTAATTAAGGGTATAACCCTATATGGGATCTGCTTAGTTGTACAATCATACACATTTCTATTCATTGAATTGATCTTACTGATGTAAGAGGACTTCCCACTCATGCAGTGCCTCCAATTGAGGTGGTTTTATGAAGACAAGCTATAGATTAACATGATGGGATTCATTAATGTTCCCACTAGTCAGACATTGAGCTGGATAGTGGGATCTGCATTGAATAGGAGACTATTTATGCCCTTTTTTCTAATTATGTTGATCGCTACTTCCAGCCATAAATTACTAAAAAGGGGATTTTCAATAGGGAAACTAGCCACTCCTCCCCTGTTTCTGGGGATTGGACTAGTGTCCACGGGTGATAACTACAGTTAATAGGGGACATTCTGACATTCTGAGCCTGGCATTATTCCCTGACGAAGGTGCAATGTGTGCTCCAAAACGTGCGTTGGGACTTGAGTTATTTTATTATTTTCTTTTCACTGAGCACTTTGAACACTATGTAGCACTTTTATTTTCTTTTAAGATGGTGATCTGGGGATTTTCTTTTGGGATTTTGAAGGGGAATTGAATAAGAGGTAGTAAGCTATCTCCCAACTTAAGACAGCTGAGGTATCTGGCATTTAGACACTTGATTCAGGCAGCTTAGCTATAGATTATTTTACTTCTAAAGTTCTTTAGCTATGTTACACAGGTAGCTATATGATTTTATAAGATTATTGAGGTGTGTTGAATAAATAGCAATTGGAGGTAGCATCTGAGTTTATCTAAACTCTGTACCCTTATATCCTTTAGACACTTAAAGAGAAACTATGGTGCCAGAAACACATACTTTTCTTGGCAATGCAGCTCCCACCTCTGTCATCTGTCAAGCCTCCTTCTCTCCCTCCCTCCCCCCCCACCGCAGTACAGAAGGGGATAAAAACACACTCTGTAACTTATCTGGGTCCAACTTCGATGTCCCTCTGCACTGGTGCTTGGGTCCTCCTTCGCTCCTCCCCCACCGAGATCAGCCGGCAAGGGAGACCAAATGCGCATGAGCTGCAATGGCCGAGCTCACATTAGGATTTACCCATAAGAAAGCATTATATAATGCTTTCCAATGAGGATGCCGGTAAAGCTGGAAGTACTCATGCATAGTGCTTAATGTAAGTTTTCAGGGTAGTTATTGCAATTACATAAGTCTTTTTAAAGAACATGAATATCTCTAACTGTGTTGTTAAGAAGACAATATATTCATTGCAATTGTTATAATGTGTCAACAAAATCAGAAACTTAATTAATCCTGTTGGGTTTGCGGTTTTGTTTGTCCTGCACGAGATAAAGATTACCCTTGAAATCTTTTGTCTGTTCATTTTGCATATAAACACCAAAACAACATGATTGGAATCAATGAATCAATGAAAGACTGGGTGGGAAGCCATATTATATTTGATTAATCATCCTGATTTAAGTGTGCTATGCGTAAATAGCACTAGTGTATTGGCAATCAAACTGTAGTAAGCCATGTTCAAGCAACCAGTACTTTTTTTTTAGCAGGTTTTTGAAGTATCAAATTATTTTGAAACCTCAATCTTTTTAGTGAAAAATATGTCTTAATGGAAATGGTCACTTTATAAATCACCTTATTCATAACTTACAGCTCTCAATAAGATATCTGGACTGTTTTCCTTCCTTGCTTGCTTAGAACTACATTTAGACCAGAAGTGAATTCTTCTCATTAGATTCAACACATCTCTATGAGAAAAAATATATTGTTGATTCATTAATGTTGCAGCCTTAATGCCATATGTTTGTATGAAAAGCATTGCATTGGGCCAAGTTTACCAAGACTGATTATCTCATCGTTGGCCGATTGGGCTGCAGCAAGAATACTGTTTTAATGCTGTGTTACAGGTAAGTGAATTCTTCTTTTTCAGCTTTTTTTAATGTTGCTTATTATATATATATATATGTATATATTTTAATTCTTTATTTTAGTTGTGTACAGATAACATTACAAGTTTCTCTTGTCACAACAACATCAACAAGCATAATTATGAGAGGTGACATAAAACAGTTATGTGGCATTCCTGGAAATAGCACACTTTTTATAATAATGATACCAGAACCTCTGACTGCTAATCCACTCCGTCTAAGTGGTATTCAACAGCCAAACTCCTCAACTGTGGTGTGCAGGCAACAATGTATAAAAGCAGCAGTGGTTTAGGAATAAGTCGAGTGCAGCAAACCTGACCACTTACTCACTAGGGCTCATAGTAATAAAAGAGATCTTTAGGCTAGGCTATCAGTGTGTCAGTGAATTCTAGAGAATATGATTAAATATGCTAGGTCATAGTCAGGTGATATAGCAGAAGGTCGTCTGCTAAAAGGAGATACTATTTTTAACTTTGAAGGGATTATCACTGATAGAGGAACCACTGCACTATTAGGACCAGTTCCTATCCCAGGATGCACATAGGAGACTGTAAGATTAAGAAACAAAACAATAATGTGCCCCCATGCCTCAAGGCTTGGTTGTGGGATTCACCCTATCCCCTTACTTACCAAAAAGGTCACATATTGAAACCAAAGAGAAAATCTCAGTCACTCACTGTTATAAGTTAAGCAGCTTTAATGAGCACTGCAACGTTTCAACCTATACCTAGGACTTTTTCAAGCTTGGGCCACAATTTCCTGGGATAACCCCCACCGGTAGGGATGGGGACAGGGATCTCTGCTGCGTTCACATGTTCCAAGGGATTGCAAGTGGCAAGTGGATATCGGCTGCCTCCCTCACACCCGTACCTCCGGGTAGGCCACAGGAGCTCTTCAGGTTTAGATCGCTGGGCAGGCATTGAGAAAACCCTAGGTTGAAGCAGGCTTTGGGTCAGAAAATGCTCAGCTTGTAGTATGCTGAGTTTTCCGTGTGAAAAATCAGAGTATCTTGCTGAAATATTGGTTTCTAGTGCGGAGCTCGTGCTGCATGCAACCATTCAGCTTTTCAGACAGGCCCCGCCCCCGCTGATTATATTTTAAAAGTAAATCCATTGTAAAAATATATAAAATCCTGCCTTGCTGTATTAATAAGTACAGAGGCCTCTTATTACACAACAGAGTACATTAAATAAATAGTTTGACAAAGAGCTACTCTAAAAAGATACATATATACATAATGCAGATTTTTTTTTTATTGGATAAATACTGTCCTGGAATATATGATGAGAATAACATTTCATCAGAGTAATTGTGACTGGAATAATGAACAGGAGATTTATAGTTGAATAAGTAAAATGTGTGCATTTTGCTTCAATAGATCTAGTTATATGGTAGAAAATGGTCAATAGAAATAATACTTTTTTATATAAATTGTGATTGGAGTGGAAATGAACTTGTGATAAAGAAATGTCCAGCACACAAATCAATGCTTGCATTCACCTGAAATTTTTTTGTTCTAAAAGAGACATTCTGTTTTCTACAAAAAGCAGAATAAGTTCTTTCTTCGTTCTAAATAACTTCTGTGGCGAAAGTATATGGGAGTGTCATGCATTTAATCACTGTTCTTATCCTTTTGAGGACCATAAGATTACCGTCATCAATATAAAAATAATTATATATTTTTCCCTTTAAGAATGTATTTGAACAATAAAAACCATTTCCACACTTGTGTCATTTTTGGGGGAGGAATTATGACACAGGACAAATGTGTCCCTATGGTCCTCAAGGGAGACAAGGTTGCAAGCATTGTCTGTTTCTGAAACTTTAAATTTATTTTACAATGAATTCTAAAGAAGGTCATAATAAATTGAGTCAAATTCTGTTACTCAAACTATTTTGACATTTATTCAGATACTTGCTCGAAACTATTTCAACAATAATATGTATTTATATACATATGCTAACAGCCTCATGGTAGGCCAAAACCAAAAAAAGTATTCATCAAGTTACTGTCACTGTCTCAAAATGCAAAAATCTCAATATGTGATAGCCTAACAGTTCAGGCTATGATAGTCAACAAAGCAGTTGTGTGTCTTTGTGTAACAAAGGTGCACATTACATGTGTCGTAGAGGCTGTCCGTGCGATTTTCATTCCCATGTTTGGCACATTGAGCACATCGTTTGCGTCTATCGCTTCTAATCATGGAATGTTTCGGCTTTGGCTCTGGAAGGACACTTCTTGAACTTCTGACTGGCGCTGACAGAGCTTTTCTTTGTCTGTTGGAGTATCCACCCACCAGGCTCCTTGCTATCATCTGCCCATATTCCAGTTGTGTAATTGCTTTGTACTCTGGGTGCCTCTATTCATTTGCTTGTATATAAATGCAGTGACTGTTGTTTACAGCAATATCTAGGAGGTCAAAGAAAATCCTCAAATAAAACTTTTTTTTTTTTTACTTCCGGTCTGTCTCATAGGACACTTTCTTCTGATCCATCAGGTCCACACCCCCCATGTACTTGTTGTAAATAGTAACAATGGTTGGACATGGAATATGCAGCTTTTCTGTACATCCTGCCTGCCTTCTCAGCACATGCGTCATATCCTTTTTGCATGTAAGGAAATTTGACAACAGTGTCACTGATCTATTGTCAATCCATTTTACACACGTGACGCCATTTGCACTCATAGTATCCACAGCTCCTCGTTTCATTCCTTTGTCAGCTTTCAAGTTTTTGGGCATATTTTTTCTGTCCACATGATCTATGCCACAAAGGTAGATCTTCTTCTGCAACATCTTGTATTGCAGCAGTGGAGAATTAAAAAATTGTCGATGAAAACCTGACAGCATAGCTGTTCTAGTTTTTTTGTCAGCATAACAATGACACTCTCTCCAAGACCATGTTCTGTGTCTGTTTTTCGTCCAGTATAGATGTCAAACTGATAAAGGTAGCCTGAGATAGCATCACATCTGCACCATAGCTTGAATCCCCATTTCACAGGCTTGTTTCTGATGTACTGCTTCATGATGTTTTGACCTTTATATTTTATCATGTGCTATTCAATCGACTGTTGCTTGCTTGGATTTCTTGCAGCCTGGAAGCATCGATTGAAGTGCTGGATCAATGGACGAACTTTGAAAGCTCTATCACACTGGGGATGAGTTCTAGGTAACATGTCCTCATTATTTGCAAAGTGCAAAGCAGAGCGAATTAATTCAAATCGAGCACGGCTCATTGTATTTGCTATAAATGGTACCTGAAGATCTGGCTGAGTAGACCAATAGTCTCTGATCGATGGCAGAACATGATACCCCATAACAAAACATATTCCAAAGAAGGCTCGAAGCTCATCTTCATTTGTCTGGAATGGAATTCCCTTCTGTTTCATATAAAGCTCACTTTGCTCCGCAACAAGTGAGACTAAAGTGCTGAAATCAGATCCTTGTTCAAAGACTTCAACAGCATCAATATCTGCACAGTCATCTAATTTCAAGTTCACTCGTCCATAGTCATATTCACTAGTGTTTGTTATGACTTTAGTTGCTCCCCTTTTCCACCTAAAGTCAAAACCAGTGATCACTGACTGAGTTTTTGAACTAGATCGCAACTTTTTTGGTAGAGGCAGTTGCTCTCCTTCTTCGGAGTTCACTGCTGAAGTCTGGAGTGTACATTTACATTTCGGTAAGCCATAGAGCATCAAAGGTTTGACAGGTAGAGCTGTTTGTGCTAGAGCTGGGTTCAGTTGATGATGAAGGATCAGGATGCTCTATGATCACTTCCTGGGTAACAATGTCAACAGCTTCAAGCAAGAAACTCTGATCCTCGACATCGAGAGTGAGATCCTCTTCATCACTGTTGTCGGCAAACAACAGCCATTGTATATCCTCTTCATGTATTGTAAACAAGAGTTCACGCCATGCCATCGTGTTTGAGGCCTTGCTAAGAACAGATGAACAATAGCGAATAAAATGGGTTATGACAGTTAGTGACTCTGCCACTTCATGTAGCTGAAGAAGTGAATGCTTTCCTTCAGCTGCCTCCTGATGTACTGCTGTAATTAGATAATAATACTTGTGTAATGAAAATGTCTCCTGTACAGCAATGGGACAGCACTGTCCAACAAACATACCTTTTTCACTGATGGCTGACTGACTTCAGTTATACAGAATTTCTTTGTGCTACATCTCCTCACTCCCCACTCCCTTCTTCTCAAATGGTTACAGAAGGGAGTGTAATACTTATTCTTTACAAATTATCTTTTACTTTCTAACACTGCTATTGCTTAGCATAGCATTAGCTGTATGCCTGTGTACATCTAGTGTCATGCTAAATGACAGTTTTATCAGTTGCTGTTGAGTTCCAAGAGGTAAAACTGTACAGTAACTGGAAAACTGCTTTTTATCGACAGTCCCTAAAGTTCCACAGAGCTCAGATAAAGCACAGGCTGAATGACTTCTATACCTGTCCAAAGTTATTTTATAAACAACTCTGCATAGTGGTAGGGTTTCTTTAAGGTATGGTCCATTGAGGACCATATGGACATATGTGTCCCAGAGCAAAAAATGTCAGCCAAATTGGTTCAAATGATACAATCTCTCAAAAAAAACATTTGTTGTTGTCAAACACAAGTCTATAAACAAATATGAGATGATCCAATAACATCTGACTATTTAGGTCACTTTGTATGGAACGCCAAAAGAAGCAATTTTTTTTTAAGTTCGTATACATTTCAGTTGCTGTAACTAAGCTGTTTCATGAAATAACTGGCAAAAAGCTAGATCTATTTGTTGATAAGAACTAATATTTTGACTCAAACAACAAAAAAAAGTATTTAAAGTTCTCAATCAGATGATACAGGCAATTAAAAACATGGGACAAATACGTCCCTTGGTCCTCAAAGGGTTATTGGTTTGTGTCTTTGTGTTGGAGTCCCCAACAAGGCCCATGTGGAAAAAACCCTTGCATGGGGATTGTCATAAAAGGCTAGTGTGGCACCATTAAAATTGAGTTCCTGCTTACCCTCAACATAGAGTCTCATTTCATGTGTGGGGGGAAATGGCTGTATCTACTATGGGGATTGCTTTATTAAGAGCTGTTCCTGCTATGCTCTCGGGAGTAGGAGAGGTTCACCCACTGGAAGCTGAATCCTGGGTGGGTGGAGGACGGCGAGTTCCCAGCCATGATGTAATGCTGGACGTGGGGACTACAGTGCTGCTGGTGTCATGTGGATTGCTTGGAGTCCTCGGTGAGCAGTAGGAGTGCCAGGCGGTCGGGGTGCCAGGTGGTCCGTCACACTCATTATAACCATTTGCTTCCAAGATCCTTGAGATAGTTGTGTACATGAGATTGACCAACATCCTTGAATCCAACTCTCTGCTCAACCTACCTCAGTCTGGATTCTGCACTCTTCACTTTATTGAAATGGCCTTGATCAAAGTATCCAATTATTTAATTGCTGCTAAATCTAGTGGTAACTGCTCTCTCCTAATTCTCCTTCATCTTCCTGTTGCTTTTGACACTGTTGTTCATCAAGTACTTCTTCTCATCCTCCATAATCTCAGTCTACAAGACTCTGCTCTCTTCTGGTTCTCCTCCTACCTCTCAAATTGCTCTTTACGTGATTCTTTCTCTGGATCTTCCTCTTCTCTGCAACCCCTCTCTCTTGGTGTTCCCCAAGGTTTTGTCTTTGGTCCCCTGTCCTTGATCAATACTGAAATGTATCCTTATAAATATTAAATATATGGTGCCAATCTTTTATGCCATGTTATAAAGGAAGGAAATTAACAAGAAATGAGGCAACTTATTACAACATTTGACATGAACAATAGGATTTCAACCCAGGGGAAGTGGGGTATAAAAACACAATAGGGTTGTGTAGTCTGATGGACGGAGGCAGGCTGTTCCACAAAAATGTGAGCAAAGTCCTGCAAAAGCTAGCAGTATGGGTATGAGCAACAGACAGGAGAAAGGCAGAGAGCAGCGGCCATGAAGTGGTGTACCTTTGAATTTGTGAAAATGTTTTATATATCATGAAAGTGTATGAGTTAAGTTGCATATGATTATTTAACAATAAATACTTTAAGGTGATTCAAAACAGTGAATTAAAATGAAAACACAAATTGCATTTTCTACAAAGTAAAAAATGTTTGAAATGATAATGCCTTTAAATAAAGGTTTAATTTTAATAACATCGATATCAATAATACCTAATAATATATACTCTTCATAGAACTTATATATATATTATGCAATATAATTGGCCTGGTATTATTATTTCATGGTCACGTCTTGGTGAGAAGTTTCCCATCATGCAGATATAGATCATTGTTAAACTTGTCAGAGTCTGTTACATACTGTAGGAATGATGGTTGACTTTAGTAACCCCAACATCTTTTGATGTGAGTAATAAAGCCTGCAATCCTTTTTTTTTTTTTTTTTACTGTTTTACACAGAGAAAGAAACAAAAATTAGGTTTCCTCCAAGGAATATCTTTTAATTTGTATTCCATCTTGAGTATTCTCTAGACACCTCCCCGCCAACCCCCCTCCACCCCCCATTCCAAGCAAAAGCAAATTTAAAATTACATTGATGAGTTTTGACATGTATATTACAGAATAAAGCATTGTGGACAATGTTTCTGTGGGGTTGCGTGTTCTTAGCCCTTTTGAGTACCAGAAGCAGACATAAATTTGCATTCAACACATGAAAATAATACAGTGCCTTTTTTGTAAGGGATCTTTATCTTTATAGAGTCATGCGCACCCCAGTTTTATTACTGTTATTATTATTGCCATCATATTTTAATATTTCTTGATGTTTTGTAAGACTACCAGGCTCATTCCTGAGATATTTTTAATTGGAATTTAAGGAGACCTTATTTCAGTTTTTGCTTTAAACTATATTTTCACAGTAACAGTTTTGTCCACAAGGAGTTCATGTAACAAAAAAGACATGTTTTTCTTTACTTAAAATTTATTAAAATTTACTTTAGTAACTTGTATTAATATCAAAATTTTATATTTTGATACTGTTTCCCTTTGATTTAATGCAAAGAGTTTAGTAAATTAGATTTTATTTGAAGTACATTTTTTGACATATACAGAAGGGAATAAATCATTAGCTTGTGGTCTTTTAATAACATACATTTAACAGTTAGTCAAGCATATCCTATTACATGGTTAACCTCCCCAGTATTACTAGTATCCTATTATCGAGATGGGATACCGGTATGTGCACACTGTGATCATGGGGCGGTGAGGGGAAAAGCATGTCAGTTGCAAGTGAGGGTGTGCAAGCTCAATGCTGTGGGCGTAGTTGGGTCTGTGCAAAGGGGGGTTCCATATCAAATGTGGGTATCAACTACTTATCGTTGGACTCCAGCAACATCTTGCCCATGGGTGACACAGCACCATATGTATACATTACATCCCGTTATTTTCGGGTACAGCTTATATTAAACCCAGGAATCCATAGTCTGTGAAGCAGTGAAGGATGTTTAGCGATTAAACGAGAGTGTGTGGCGTATTACCAGGTCATAATTGAGATGGGCGGCAGTTAAAGAGTATTGTGAGCAGACACATAATGCAGGAGTCCACCTACAAACCTCTTATGCCCTTATGACAATACTGGTTCCCCACATGGTGTCGCATGTCTTATTCCAGAGTTTGCTTATGCAATGAATGGAGTAAGAAAGAAACAGAAATGTGTCTGTCATTTTTTTCCATTCTGTTACAAAATGGAGTCACATCTGCTAAGTAGTGACTTTACAGTATACAAGTTTAATTTCAATCATATCATAAAATGTCTGACAGTAAAATACTTGACAATTCAAAGAAGAAGAAAAAAATGAAAAAACAGAGGCAATGCACCTTTCTGCATTAAATATGGCATAGGGGTATGGTGCTTGGAATGTCATTTAAGATCATTTGTATACAATATTCAATGGGATTTGTAGAATTTTGCTCAGAAATGAATAACTGTGATATATTTTGCATGATTTTCATTATAAATGACTATAACATTGTCTTTGTAATAAAAAAGAAACTGTGAAATACTTATTTAACCAAAATCTCACAGGAACATGTAAGCTCTACAGTAATTATACAGAGCAAGAATGTTTCTAAAGTTAGCATTTATCACACATAATTATGCTTGTGAAATAACAGACTAAATTGATTTGAACTTCCGCTGAAGAGCCACGTTGATTTAAATTTGCAGTCTTCTATATAAGATGTATAAATTCGATTTTCATACAGTGAAAATTGAACATGTGCTATAGCCAATTATTTACAAAGGAATCATTTATTTTGTGTGTCTTATAAACAAGGAATAAATCATGCATGCTGAATGATTAATTAAAATTACGGTAAACTATTACATATATGAATCACTTTAAAGAGCAAAAGGACATGTATAAATTGGAATTAAAATTAGCAGCTTTATTAAATCATGTATTAATGACCCATTTTAAATGTAAGCAGAGACCATGATTAGTCTGTCTGATAATTAGAAAATAATTATATAATCTCACAAAATATGGAAAACTGCAATTTAATGTTGAACTCTGGTGTTATTGAATAAAGTTGTCCACAGCACAACTAACTGCATATTAAATGGATGTTCTGGCTTTTTATACCATTTAATGGCCATAGCATGTATGTTTGGCTCAGCTGCCCAAATATATTAAGCTTTATATTT